AAAAAAAAAAAAAATACTGTCTACATGTTAGCCACCTCTTGGTAAAATTTTGTAAGGTATATTCAATAAATAAAGGCATACTTAGCTACAATTTCCCATTTTGCCATGTGTGAAGACTTTAGGGACACCCTGTACACTAGCGTCATTCTAAGAGATCACTAAGTATCAGAGGCTATAACTTCCCAGGCAGAACCAGGTCGGCATGACTCCAAAATCCAATGCTTTCACCACTACACAAGTTAAAAACTTTCCACTTGTTCCAAAAAGTCCCATCTCAAACTTCAAAGAACACCATCTCTAGGAACCTGAATCTTTCCAGCCATGGATAAGGTCTCTGAGGTCTCCATGCTCAGGCCCTCTCCTCACCTCACCCCTACTCATCTTCAGAGTCAAATTCCTTTCACTGATAATTCCGGTTGCATTACATCTCATATCTCTTGATGTCATTACCAGACCTTCTAAGGACACAATCACAGAGATTTTGTACAAAATGAACGACTGGTTCTGAATGGACTAACAAACCAAACCAGCCCTTTGTCCATCTGTTTTTGGGGGCAGAGAGAAGATGTTTCAAAACTTTTCTCTTCTGAGACCTTCTAAGGGATTACAAAATCAAGACAGGGTATAAAGAATACAAAATGCTTTCAAAATACTATCTGTGTTTAGCCAACCTATTTGCTCCTCTGTCAGAATTTTAAGTTATCTATGGCCAGTTCTTCTGAGCTCAAGCCTTCTCCTTGTCCAGGGCAGAACAGCAAAGTCTCTACAACAATATCCTTCCCAGCCAGCAGGGTGGCTCACACCTGTAATCCTAGTACTCTGGGAGGCCAAGGCAGGAGGATCACTTGAGCTCCAGAGTTCAAGACCAGCCTGAGCAAGAGTGGGACCCTGTCTCGACTAAAAATACAAAAAATTAGTTGGGCATTGTGCCTCTCGCCAGTAGTCCCAGCTACTCAGGAGGCTAAGGCAAGAGGAATCGCTTGAGTCCAGGAGGTTGCTGTGAACTAGGCTGACACCATGGCACTCTAGCCTGGGCAACAGAACAAGACTCAAGTCTCAAAAAAGAAAAAAAGAAAACACAAGATCCTTCCCTAGCACCTCCATCCCAGTTATCTGAGATGAACTTTTTAAAAAGAGGCCAAGGTGTAAATAAATGTTACACAAGGTGATGATGCCAGAGAGACTCTCATCTCCTTGCACAACCAGCCTTTTAAAATTAGTGGTTTAGACGCTAAGGGCGGTTTCTCTCAATAAATTCTCCCAACTGAAACCCCCCTCCCCCACCAGCCCAACATCTAAGAGGGAGAGAGGACAGGTGGATGAAGGATAAGAAAGGCAAGGAAGAAGCTGAAAATGCCTGCGAGGCAGGTACAGGCCCACCGAGCACCGCTACCCCGCCCCCCACCTCCCCAGCACAGCAGTCTAACACAGCAGACAGCTACATCTGAATCACTTTTGCCTCCATCCCTGGCAACTTTCCCAGCCAGTCTAGAGCTTACTCAAGCACGCGCTGCCCAGAAGTGGAAAAGACCTCCCCTTTAGCCACGGTGCTGCCCACCAGGCACTTCCCCTTCCCAGGGTCGCCGCGGCCCGCCCAGCAGCCCTTTGCTGCCCCAGGTTCTCACCCTCACCCCGGAACCCCCAGACCACCTCTCCCCTAAGGCCCTTTGACTCTGGTTCCCCACACTCCACAAGTTTTCGCCTTCATCTCCTGACCCACCCACCCCGAGCCCCACCGCACCCCTTACCCGCCCCCACGCCTGGCACCGCCCCCGCGCCCCCACCCATTGCGGGCTCTGCCCCTCGGGCCCTACCTGGCGGCGGCTGCCGCTCACCCTCAGCCATCTTGCTCCCGCCAGGAGCCGGCCCGGATGCCTGCAGTCCCCTCTCACTACTCGCCCCCACACCCGCCGGGTCTTCCCCGGCCACACCACAGGCTCCGCGCTTTCCGAAGGAAAATGAGCACCGGCCGGCTATAACCGAAAACCGAGAATTAAAGTCTCCCCAGAGCAGACGGCGGCCATGCCGGTGCGGGGCACTCAGGGAGCATGCCCACCAACGGCCGGCTCGCGGCGACCGCGCTGACCGGGGCGGCGGCCATGTCAGTGCGGGGCACCCGGAGCATGCGCGCCAACGACCGTCCCACCGCCCCGCCGCGGCCGCCATGCTTTTGCGGGGCGTCAAGTGTAGTTGTTGCGCAGCCATGTTTTTGCGGGGCGGTTCCCAGCTGTCATCTTTGTGAGTGACACTGACATTTCCCGGTCAACACGGCTGTGTCTCCCTACTACTTTTAGAGTTACACTCAAAGAGTCCAGACAGACTTGGAGGGGCCCATGCCACCACCTCCAACAGCTTAGACGGCGTTTAGAGGTGGGAGAGACAGCTGGACGGCGACCTCCGTCCTTCCTTCCCCCCAAGACTTCCATGCCTCGCGGGGTCTGGCGGCAGCTCACCCTCCCGCGGCTCCGCCCCCAGGCCCCACCCGCCCGCGGCCCGGCCCAGAGCTCGCAGCTGGACGCCCCGGGCCCGCTACCCGCCGACGCCCCGCCCCGCGAGTCCTCCCCCGCGGGCCAGCAGCCCGCCGCCGGCTGGGCGGGTGGGTGGGCGCGGGGCCGCCTCTACCAGCTGGCGGCAGTGACTCGGCGACCTTGGCCCGGAGGCTGTAGCGGAGATCCACAGACACCCCAACGACCGCGGCGACGAGGACTTTGCCCAACGCGGGAGGCGGAGCGGATTGCGTGTCTGCGGGCGGAGAGCAAAGATGTTAGCCTTCGCCGCCAGGACCCTGGTGAGTGTGGCTGGAGCCCGGGCCAGAGGGCTCTGAACCAGGCGGACGGGCTGCGCAGCTCACCCGTGTTGGAAAACTGGCCAAATAGGCGACTCAGCTGGTAGGGTAGGGTCGGCAGGTGGGCGTCCCGGGGTTGGCAGAGGAGGAGCTGGAGGCGCACGGTCAGAGGGGGGATCGAACCCACGACCTGAGGCGCTCAGATCCAACGGCCCGGAAAAGACAGTGGGGACCCTGGCTTCAGTCAGCACCCCACCCTTAAACTCGGAGCCAAGGCGGGAAGACACCCGGTGTGTCCCAGTTATTCTCTGACCCACACACCCGCCGTGCACTCGGCTGAGCTGTCTCTGCCTGAGCCAGAGCCACTTCTCTGGCCTCTTCAGTTGGTCAACTTCCTTGGGTTTATCAAATGTCCCCTGGGGAATTGTGTGTGGTCAGCAGAACTCACGTGGAGGCATCAAGCTAGTCTACTCTGAAAGGCTTCCGACTAGCAGGAGGCGGCAGATAGCAGGTGGCAGTGACAGGGGAAGCTTCCTTACTCCAGACTGTCCACATCTAGCCCTCAACCCTCTCCACAGGATAGCCTGGAGCAAGCAGTGCTGCCATCCTGGTTCGGGTTTCTTTCCTCTGATCCAAGCACGTCTCTGCCCGAATCTCACTGTCTCACACAGACACTGTGGGGCCACAGGGCTGAGCATACACATCCAGGCTCAGACTTAGGGGCTCTGCTGGATATGTTTCAGCACTCTGAGGCACCACCTCACCTTTGCCACTGCCACCTGAACTATTATGTCCTACCCCACAGCCTCTAGGTCAACCTCCAGGACCAGACTGGCCTGGTTACTTCATTGCTGGGAAGACTGAGGCAAGGAGGGACTGGGCTAGAGTCTCCTGGATCTGCTGATTCAAGTCTAGTCCTCAAACCAGCATCTTTTGGTTTATTTTTTGTTTCTTGCTTTGGTTTGCTTTGAGATAGTCTCACTCGGCTCGGCGCCTATAGCTCAACCGGCTAAGGCGCCAGCCATGTTCACCTAAGGTGGTGGGTTCAAATCCCCAGCCTGGACCCACCAAACAACAATGACGGCTGCAACGAAAAAAAGCCGGGCGTTGTGGCGGGCGCCTGTGGTCCCAGCTACTTGGGAGGCGGAGGCAGGAGACTCGCTTGAGCCCAGGAGTTGGAGGTTGCTGTGAGCTGTAATGCCAGGGCACTCTACCCAGGGGGACAGCTTGAGGCTCTGTCTCAAAAAAAAAAAAAGAGATAGTCTCACTCTGTTGGCTAGGCTGGAGTACAGCAGCATGATCATAGGTCCCTATAGCCTCAAACTTCTAGGCTCAAGCAGTCCTCCTGCCCTAGCATCCCCAAATGCTGGGATCATAGGTATAGACACTGTATCTGGCCATTTGGTTTATTTTTCATACCAAAAGTCCTCCATTCTTGGACCCCAGCTGAATGAGCCACTGCTTAGAGAAGGCAGGCTTCAGTAGAGGGGTGACCCAGAAGGGCCCCAAGACTCCAAGAGAGAAACAGGAAATGGGCTGGGCTCTTAGCCTCCCTATCCACTGATGACCCTTTCCTGATGCCTTTGTACCAACCCTGATTTCAGGACTGATTTCAGGGCTGTGGTATAACCCTCCAGATGAGTTTTTTCTCATCTGAAAGTTCCACACAGTCTGGGCGTGGTGGCTCACACCTATAATCCTATCACTCTGGGAGGCCAAGGCCGGTGGATTGCCTGAGCTCATGGGTTCGAGCCCAGATAAGCAAGAGCAAGACCCCGCCTCTAAAAATAGCCAGACATAGTAAGTGCCTGTAGTCCCAGCTACTTGGGAGGCTGAGGCAAGAGAATCGCCTGGGCCCAAGAGTTTGAGGTTGCTGTGAGCTATGACTCCATGGGACTCTACTCAGGTCGGCAAAGTGAGGCTCTGTCTCAAAAAAAAAAAAAAAAAGATCTACAAAGATTCTGACAGGTGGATTTCTTAATACCTCTTGGCCTGCCTCCCTGGCAGTGAGCCCATCCAGAGGAGAAAAGAAAGTGCCTTCCGGGTTTTTTCCTGCTGCTATGCCCACCACCAGTCTCCTCACCTGCTCCTCGTTGCTCTTCTTCTGGAAGCTTGGGAGGGTGGAGCAGCTTCTGGAGTCAGGAAGCTTCCCCTGTCACTGCCACAACCCCAGATGCCACCATCATCTCTGCCTTCCTGCCTCCCCCTGAACCTTGGCTCTTGTCTTCTCTTTCCAGCCCAGGCAAGTGGCTGCCTCTTGCTAGGTTCTGCTCACCCACTGAGTAGCACAGTTAGGCTTAGAGATCCAGCCAAGGCAGACAGACAGGGCTCAGGACCTCAGTCCTGCCATGGAGGAGGACGGGCAGCAGAGAGAGAAGGTATGGACCGGAACGGAGCTTCTGCCGCTTGCCTGCCTGCCGCGCAGCAGCCTGGACCCCCTGTCTCTCTTTCTGCCCACCTCCAAAGTCCGCCAGACTATTTTCCTCTACTGCCTTTCACCCTCCAGGCCGGACCACTCAGCTCTCTCTTGCTACAGCTCTGTCCTCACTATCACTGCCCCCACAAAGGGCAGAGAAAGCCAGAGGCCTCATTGTCTGGCTCTCTCTGATCTCCTTCTTTCCTGTTTCTCAACCTGGAAAGGGTGGGAGAAAAGGAGGTGGGCCCTTCTTTCCAGGATGAGAAAGGCGGGGCCTGAGCATCTAGACAGGTGGGAGGTGTTCTCACCTCTGCTACCCCAAAGGTGCCATTCATCCTGACTCAGTTCCCCTGAACTCTCTGAAGACCAATGGCCACACCCCACCTTCCCCCACCCCTACCAGAGTCTCTAGGCTCCTGAGAGGTGGGGACATCTACAGCTTAAGGGCTGGGAGGCCAGGGAAGGCTCCACCCAGGAGGCCATCTCTGACCCCAGAGACAGGCACATAAGTGCCCAGAGTGGAGACTTTAGGGTTCTGGGGCTCCCAGAGCTGGTGAGAGAATGAGCAGGGTGTTCTGCTGCCTGCAGGTGAAGCCCATGGGCTTCCTCAAGCCCTCCTCCTTGATGAAGACACCTGGCCGCTTCAAGGCACACCAGGATGCGCTGCCGCGGCTGCCCATACCTCCTCTCCAGCAGTCGCTGGAGCATTACCTCAAGGCACTGCAGCCCATCGTGAGTGAGGAGGAGTGGGCCCAAACCAAGCAGCTGGTAGACGAGTTCCAGGCCTCAGGAGGCGTGGGAGAACGCCTGCAGAAGGGGCTGCAGCGCAGGGCCAGGAAGACAGAGAACTGGGTGAGTGTGATTTGGCACTCCACACTGTGGCCGTTTGGCCACTGTGCACATGCAGAATTTTCCAGTGCCAGCTGCTCTGGCACATTCATTCATTTGCTCCACCAAATTTCTTGAACACTTACTCTGTACCTGGCACTTGGCAGAGCACTGAGGGAACAAGAACAGTCTCTGACCTCTTGGAGCTCCCCCATTGTGGGGGAGAGGAGGTGATGGGCAAGATGCAAGTCAACAAATAAGGTCCTTTCAGACAGTAAAGTTCTATGGAGATAAAAAGGGTGCAGAAGAAGGCTAGGGATGGCAGTGTCATCATGCTGGGTATCAGGAAAGGGGATGGGATGGGCCTGAGACCTGAGGGTCTCAGACAAACAGCTGACAGCATGGGCAAAAATGGCAACAACCTGCATGTGCCAGACCAGAGGCCAGAGGGAGGATGGAGGCAGGGACAACCCGTAGAACGATCTTGGACTTGAGCTCAGTAAGACAGCTTCAGGCAGGGAGTTCTGTCCTTCCGTGACAGATTGCCCTCATTCTGTGTCCGATCTGGTACACAGTAGTGTTCAGTTTGCACAATGTGTTTACACTGTATGCCTGTCTGTGTGCATCTCATACTTCTACATGAAGATAAAAAAGAGGTCCCGGCTGCTGGGGTGGAGCAAGAGTGGGAGACAAAGGCGAGGGGAGGCTGGTGCCATTGCCTGGAGGAATATATGGCAGCCTGGACCTGGCACTGCCAGGGCAAGGGGGAAAGTCATTAAGCCCAGGAGTGTTTCAGAGGCAGTGCCAGTGGCACTTGCTGATGGAGAGGATGGATACAGTCTCGATATAAAACAGCAGTAGAATGCCTGAGGAAGAAGCTGACTTGTGGGAGAGAGCTAGGTTTGGCCCTGTGAATACATGATATAGGAGGTGCCCTGGGGTGGGCAGGTGAAGCTCTGAGCCTGGGGCTTGGTGGTCAGTGGGAGGCTGCATACAGGATAGGGAGGCATTGGCTGGTGGCATTTAATGAGCCTTAGCAGGTCAGGGCCTTGGACTCTGAAATTAGAATGCTCTCCCTTCAAGGAAGCTAGAGAGTCTGGGGTCAGAGACTCCTTCAAACAGAAGCTTGTGGCTAAGGGGGCTCCCACTTCACTCAAAGAGCCCCTGAAGGGGCTTTGCTACCACCTGGCAGATTCTCACTGGGGGAATGCCCATACTTGGAGGACCAAGCTCTCCCCTTGTCTCCCAAGCTCTGGCCAGAGGCTCAGGGATCCCTAGTGAAGTATGAGCCCCTAGCTATGTCCCCAAGAGGAGGGAACTCCCGTCTGCTCCTCTCTGATCTACAGATCAGGAAACAGAGACTCAGAGAGGTCCCTCTCAGGGAGACCTCCCTTTCTTGTGCTACACAGGAAGGTCTTGCTGACTCAGGAGCCCAATCCTTTGGGGCCACAGGTCACCTGTTGTACAGCCTGAGACAAGTTGCCTGCCCCTTCCTTTGCCAAGGGCCCAAGGCTAGTGGCCCAGTGCCACAGAACACTCTGCAGAGTAAAGATCTGCATCCTGCTACTGTTGCAGAGGCATGAGGAAACCCAGTAAAGACCCAGGTCTCTGGGGCTTGAAGGACCTGCCATAGAAAGGTGTACTAGGTGTTTTCTGGGGGACAGGGCATTGCAGTCAGCACAGAAGGCTCAAGGATGACAGTCGCTGGGGTGCAGCCCCCAGACAGGAGCATTTAATACCATGCCCATGGCTAGACCCCCAGAGAGACCCATATTCCGGGGCAAAGGACAGACATCCAGGGTGTGTCACCAACATCTCATCATGATTTACCCTCACAGTGAGCTTTCCCTCAAGATTGCCCTGACCTTGAGATCCAAGTCGGTGTCCCCTATCTGACACCAAAAACACTGAGGTCACAGAGTCCCTCAGATCGCTCTGACACCCTAGTCTCTTGCCTCCTTGGAGAATTCTCAGCTAATGACAGCCAAAAACTCACTTACTGGATTTCCCTTTGATATAGCTCTCCTTTTTTCCTTTCTGTCTATTCAGGCATACATTTTTATTTATAAATACCTTGTAATTATTGACAGAAAACTTAAAAGAGAAAGAAATCATTCACCTTGCTGCCCCTTCCAGATTTCCTTCCACTCCTTGCTCTCAGTGGCATTTTCTCAGAGGTGTTGGTCAATGTCTCTTGCTGACACTGATCAGTCAGGCTGAGGCTAAGATACTGATAGGATAGGTGGGGGGAGAGGACAGTGTTCTGGATCTAAGCTCTCACTTTAAGAATATAGAGGGGGCAGAAGACATGGGGCGCAGCTGGGTTCCCTGGTCCTTGAGAGGAAGGGGCCCAGTCCCACCTCCACTCCTGACAGGCTCTGCTTCTTCCCCTAGCTGTCTGAGTGGTGGCTCAAGACAGCCTACCTCCAGTTCCGCCAGCCTGTGGTCATCTACTCCAGCCCAGGGGTAATGTTGCCCAAGCAGGATTTTGTGGATCTGCAGGGTCAACTCCGGTAAGTGGCTGGGGCTGGGCAACCCAGAGGTAGCCAAGGGCAGGGTTCTGAGTATTTCCAAGGCCCTTAAGTCCACTTCTCCCCAGAGATTGGAGGGGTCCCAGTGCCCTTGATGTCTCATCCCCACAAACAACCTTATAAAGTATCATCTCTATTTTACAGATAGGGAAACTGAGGCTCAGAGCAGTGGAGGGAGTTGCCCAAGATCACCATTCAGGATTGGCTGATCCTGGCTAGGAAGCAGGGTCTTTCCAGCTCCAAAGCTTACTGTTATCCATCAGACAGACTGCAGACCCTTCCCTCACCCAAACCTGAGGCTTTGGCTTGGCGCCTATGGCTCAAGTGGCTAAGGCACCAGCCACATACATACACATAAAGTGGCGGGTTCGAATCCAGCCCGGGCTTGCCAAACAACAATGCAGGCTGCAACCAAAAAAAATAGCTGGGCATTGTGACGGGTGCCTGTGGTCCCAGCTACTTGGGAGGCTAAGGCAGTAGACTCACTTGAGCCTAGGAGTTGGAGGTTGCTGTGAGCTGTGATGCCACAGCACTCTACGCAGGGGGACAGCTTGAAGCTCTGTCTCAAAAAAAAAAAAAAAAAACCTGAGGCTTCCCCATCACCTCAATTTTGGCACTGCTCCTTGCCACTCTGCTCAGCTTGCCACAAGGTGACCTTTGTACACAGTTCCTTTTTCCACATTCGGTCATGTAACCTGCCGTGGCCTCTATTCCAGTCTTACCAGAGATAAAAATACCAGTGACAGGGAGCTCCTGCCCAAGGAGCAGCCACTTGCTGCCACTACCTGCTTCTCTTAAAGGGACCAGGACACCCTGGGAAGGGCTGGGATTCTGGGCTAGAAACTCAAGCCAGTGGTGCCCATGCTGGGGTTCAGGTTGGGACTGGTTCATGTGGCAAATGCCCTCTTTATAAGCTCAGACAGTCCAGGGAGGAAGAGCAGGTTGAGGGAGGTGGCCTGGGGACACCTCAAGCCACTGCCTCACCTTCATTACCCCCAGGGTCCCTTGTCCCTTCATAACTGATGCTTCAGAGCAGAGTGACGCCCCCTCCAGACTCCAAGCTGTGGCTCAGGAACTCAGGCCCTTTGCAAGTGGAACCAGCCACATACACACTGCTGTGGACTCGCACCTATGTCCTGTCTGGCCCTTGGTCTGGCATCCAGCATTTCCCTGAGTCCTCCTGACAGCCTCCCTCTAGAGATTATGGGGAAGCTGGCACAGAAAGCCAACCTGGTCTCCCAGCCCCTCCCTAGAGCAGCAAGGATAATCTGTGAGCAGTGGAGAAGGACTAGGACTAGACCTGCCCCTCACACAACAGGTGTCCCTGGCCCAGGGGTCCCCTCAGGGTGTATACACAGTTTATAATCTCTAATTGATCTTTTCAGATTTGCTGCCAAACTCATTGAGGGAGTGTTGGATTTCAAGGTCATGATTGACAAGTGAGCAGCCCCACCCCACCCCACCCCTGCCCAGGCCTGCCTAATTACCACAGCCACCCTGACCCCAAGCCCTGTCTGAGCTGTCACTTTCACTTCCTGTTTGCCCAGCCTCTGTTTGTCATTTGGGAGACCAAGTGCTGGAGATTGTTCTCTGCTCTGGCTGCTGGGACCTTCTGATAATCCTGTCCCATCCCATCCAAAGTAGATACTGTGGCCAGGCATGGTGGCTTATGTCTGTACACTGTGGGAGGCCAAGGCAGGAGCAGTGCTTGAGTCCAGGAGTTTGAGACCAGCCTGGACAACCATAGCAAGACCCCATCACTAAAAAAAAAAAAAAAAAATTAGCCAGTTGTGGTGGCTCACACCTGTAGTCCAAGCTAGTTGGGACAAGCTGAGGCAGGATAATCCTGTAAGCCCAGAAGTTTGAGGCTGCAGTGAGCTATGATTGCACCACTGTACTGCAGCCTGGGTGACAAAGAGGATCCAGGAGGTTGACTCACTGATCCTCCCCAGCTTAGTGGGGATAAGGAAGGAGAAGGTGGCTTCCAGGCAGGGCTCATCCAGCCTTGCTGTGCCCCCTGCTCATGTTGAGGGGATAGTAGGGGGTCCCCACTTGGTCTGGCCTTGCTCCCACCAGAGGCTTGCAAGTCTCTGCATGCCCTGCCCTCCTCCCCACTTATGTGCTCAGCAGCCCTCACTGTCCCTCTGTCCCCACAGTGAGACTCTGCCTGTGGAGTACCTGGGGGGGAAGCCCCTCTGCATGAACCAGTACTATCAGATCCTGTCCTCTTGCCGCATCCCAGGCCCTAAGCAGGATTCTGTCAGCAACTTCAGCAAGATGAAGAAACCACCCTCACATATCACCGTGGTGCACAACTACCAGGTGGGTGGCCCCTGCTCATGGCTGCAAACCCCCACCCTGCTGCCAAGAAGGAAGGGGCAGGCTGGACACCACCACCACACATGCCTTTGTGCCCCAGGAATGCCCAGTAAAGAGGCCAGGAGAGGCAGCAGCCTGCCCAGCACAGGAGGGTAATCCAACACCTCCTCCTCCCTGTCTCAACCTTGGCCTGACACCATACTCTCAGCTGGGCTTGGGTCAGCAATGAGGGGCCAGGGTGTGGGGAGGCTGCTCTTGATCTGAGACCTCACCTAGCCCCCTTCTCTCCACTTGCTGTGCCCCAACAGTTTTTTGAGTTGGACGTGTACCACAGCGATGGGACACCCCTCACCTCCGACCAGATTTTCGTGCAGCTGGAGAAGATCTGGAATTCGTCATTGCAGACCAACAAGGAGCCCGTGGGCATCCTCACCTCCAACCACCGTAACTCCTGGGCCAAGGCATATAACACCCTCATCAAAGGTGCTTCCTAGCAGGGTCCTGTGCTTCGGTCTCTTCCCAGGCCTAGGCAGCCATGTGTCCCTGGAGCCTCTCAGCTTGGAGAGGTGTTAGCCATCTTGTTTTGTGGTTGAGGAGCCACGGCCCAGTTTGATTAGGATAGTTTCTCTCTGTTAAGTAGTAAGTTGGGCTTAGATTCCAAGTTCTCTAGCTAAGGAGTCTCCACACTCCTCCTTCTCTGTGAGTGTCCCAGACCCCTAAAGCCTGTATTGGTTGGGCATTGTCCCTAGAGTCGGCGCCAGATCCCTGTGTAACCCCTGGCTTCCAATTCTCCATGTCTAAAGTGGTTCAGGTGTTGGGACCACTGTGAGGCTGCAGGGCACCATTAGGTCCTAAGCTCTAAACCCAGGCCCAGCACTCAGTGAATGCCCTGGAGGCCTCCTGAGGTAGGGAGCTCTCCATCTTCAGAGGGACACAGATAGGCCAGAAGAGCCTAAGGCAGGAAGCCACAGAAAGGTGACCACCTCCCCCAGGCCCTGAGACTCACCCCCATCTTGCACCCTGCCCCATACCCTCATTCCACCTGAAGACAAGGTGAACCGAGAGTCAGTGAGCTCCATCCAGAAAAGCATCTTCACCGTGTGCCTGGATGCACCCATGCCCAGAGTGTCTGAGGACGTGTACCGCAGCCACGTGGCTGGCCAGATGCTGCATGGGGGTGGCAGCAAGCTCAACAGTGGCAACCGCTGGTTCGACAAGACGCTGCAGGTGAGGACCCAGCAGCACTGAGACTCCCACCCCAGACATACACCTAAACATGGTCCTTTGTAGCCTTAGGACTTCCTGCCCTTCTGGGGCCAGCGTCCCTGGCCTCCCAGGTTATGAAGCAGGAGGGAAGCCAGTAGGCTGGACGCTGCTGTAATTATCAGGCACCCAGCCTGAGCCTGTCATTACCACCCTGCCCAGTGTCCTGGAAACTGCCATTACCCCCAACACACTTCCTTAGTGCATCATAGAAAGCCCAAGATCCAGGGTCAGGCAGAGTGATGCAAACTGGCATGACACTCCCTCTCTGTACCTGGGAAATGGGGTGTCATTAGACCTCTCCAGTAGGGTAGTTCCACAGTGTGCACAGCAAGTGATATGCCAGGGGCCAGGGGTCAGCATTAGCTATTATTATTATTATTTTTTTTTTTTGTCACCCTTGGTAGAGTGCCGTGGCATCACAGGTCACAGCAACCTCCAGCTCTTGGGCTTACGTGATTCTCTTGCCTCAGCCTTCCTAGTAGCCAGCACTTGCCACAATGCCTGGCTATTTTTTTTTGTTGCAGTTTGGCTGGGGCCAGGTTAGAACCCACTACCCTTGGTATATGGGGCCAGCGCCCTACTCAGTGAGCCACAGGCACCACCCCACATTAGCTATTATTAATCCCAGTAATAAGTTAGCATAACCCACCAAGATGGATTCAGAGAGGCCCTTCCCATGAGACCCAACTAGAGAGTGTCTGGGTCAGGAGCCACCTCCAGGGACCAGTGGCTGACAGAGTCCTCCAATTTCTGCAGTTCATCGTGGGAGAAGATGGCTCCTGTGGGCTCGTGTATGAGCATGCAGCAGCAGAGGGACCCCCCATTGTCAGCCTTGTGGACCATGTGATCGAGTTCACGTGAGTGTTGTTACACCCCGACCCGCCTACCCAGCTCCTGGTGACAGGTGACAGACCTGGCTTGTAGGGGAATGTCACTCTCCTTTGTGCCTAGGAATCTGTTTCTTCAAAGGAAACCAGCAGAAGGCATGGGTTTTAAAGTCAGAGCTGGGTTTGAGTTCTCACTCTGCCACTTCTCAGTTGTGTGACCTCAGACAGGCCCCTTCCCCCCCACTGCCTGTGTGAAAGCTACAGTGAAGGCAGTTTCCAGAAAAGCCAGCCTGAGTCTCCCTCCAGCTGCAGGGAACCCTTCCTCCCCACCCCACTTCCAGCATGGACCCAGGCTCTGGGGACACCACCATGAACCTGAGGCTCTGTGTTCCATGCAGGAAGAAGTCTGAATTCGTGCGGTCTCCCATGGTGCCCCTGCCTATGCCTAAGAAGCTGCGGTTCAACATCACACCCGAGATCAAGAATGACATTGAGAAGGCCAAGCAGAACCTCAGCATGTGAGTGCCCACCCCACTGGCCCGTGCTAGATGGGCAAGGCCAGGCCCCTTGAGCCTGAGAGGCTCCTCTGCCAGATCTGTCACTGTACACAGCTCTGGTCCCAACACTGTGCTCCCAGGCCCTCCTGGGGTTGGTGGGGGTTTCCAGGGGCCTGCATATCACCCACTCCTCCCACACACCAGCATGATCCAGGACCTAGACATCACAGTGATGGTGTTCCACCACTTTGGAAAGGACTTCCCCAAGTCAGAGAAGCTGAGCCCAGATGCCTTCATCCAGATGGCCCTCCAGCTTGCTTACTACAGGTGCACCCCTGCTTGCCTGTGAAGGAGGGATAGGGCCTGGGGGCAAGGCTGGGGACAACTCCAAGGGATGTGCTCAGCCCTGTTCCCTACCCAGGATCTACAGGCAGGCGTGTGCCACGTACGAAAGCGCCTCCCTGCGCATGTTTCACCTGGGCCGCACAGATACCATCCGCTCAGCCTCTGTGGACTCACTGGCCTTTGTCAAGGCCATGGATGACTCTAATGTGACGGTGAGAGATCTGGGGCAAGGGTAGGTAAACTGGACTAGAGCCACTTCCCTACCTGTCCAGTCTATCTATCACCAAGTACCTGTGATGTCCAAGCTTTGTAGTGGGCACTGAGAATCTTTTTTTTTTTTTTTTTGAGGCAGAGCCTCAAGCTGTCACCCTGGGCAGAGTGCTGTGGCATTACAGCTCACAGCAACCTCCAACTCCTGGGCTCAAGCGAGTCTCCTGCCTCCGCCTCCCAAGTAGCTGGGACCACAGGCGCCTGCCACAACGCCCGGCTATTTTTTGGTTGCAGCCGTCATTGTTGTTTGGCGGGCTGGGCTGGGGATTCGAACCCACCACCTTAGGTGTACGTGGCTGGCGCCTTAGCTGGTTGAGCTATAGGCGCTGAGCCAGCACTGAGAATCTTACAGAAGATGGAGCCATGAGTTTAGTTCTGAGCTTCCTGGCAGCCAAAGAGAAAAGGGGGCCAGTCAATTGTTCATCCACTTATTTGTCAGCAGTAAGCATCTGCTCTGTGTCAGGCCCTGCTGAGGACTGAAGAGCTGGTAGTTCTGAGACTTGTTCTTAAGAATCTCAGAATCTCGGTTGGGTGGGGAGTGGGCTCCTACAGTGGATGAGAAACAGGCAACAAACAATGTTTCAGCTCTCTCTGCCCCTGATCTCTCTAGGAGCACCAGAAGGTGGAGCTGCTACGGAAGGCTGTGCAGGCCCATCGAGGCTATACCGATCGAGTGAGTGAGCCCCACCTATACCCACTCACTTGTCCCACCTATCCACCCATTTGCCTATTTTTCCCTGCAGCACCCTTATTTAGGGCCACCCCTCCCTGCCCTGAAGCACCTGGAGCCAGGGTGAATGTCCCCATTTTAAAGTTGGAGAAACTAAGGTTACCCAGTAACCTTACCTGGGTTACCTGGGTAACCTACTGTTACCCAGTAACAGCCCCATGCTGGGTTCCAAGGTTTGCCCAGGCTCTAGCTCTTGGGTCATGTGCCACCTGATGCTGAGTCAAGGAGCTGGTGGTCTAGGTGCCCACCTTGGCCCTGTCTCTGAGCACCGGTGTGCCCCAGGCCCATACATGCATATGCCCATTTAAACCTGCTGCTGCCCTGCACAGGGAATTCAGGACTGTCCCCATTGTGCAGGTGAAAACACTGAGGCTCCGAAATGTAAGCAACCTACCAAGGTCCCACTGCAGGGATAGGGCTAAGCTAATCCTGTACTGTCCAGCCTTCCTAGGCAGGTCTCTGCCCCTCCCTGGCCCTCAGTTTCCCCATCTGTGAGCAAGGGTTCTCTCACCTGGATACTCCAATCTCATGATTCCAAAGGACCAGTGATTGTCCCTTGGAACCATGAGGGGCAGTACTGCCACAGGCTGAGGAGGGCAGGGCTGTCCTGCAGGCCAACAGCCCTACTCCTGACAGCCTCCTGCCCCCATAGGCCATCCGTGGGGAGGCCTTTGACCGGCACCTGCTGGGCCTAAAGATGCAGGCCATTGAGGACCTAGTGAGCATGCCCGACATCTTCATGGACACCTCCTACGCCATCGCCATGCACTTCCACCTCTCCACCAGCCAGGTGGGCCACTGCCCCAGGTGCCCAGGAGAAGCTGTGTGGAGAACCCTCCGGCAGCTGGATCTTGGGGAATGATGTGGCCCACACAGGCCACCAAGAGCTCACTGCCAAAGCAGCTGAATTACAGAGGAGGAGCTGGGAGGAGAGAGGGCCCAGGAATCTGAGAAGGCATCTGGGCCCCCCATGGGAGATTTGGCTTCTCTCAGTCACTGGTCAGATATAAACAAACATCTGATCTGTGCCAGCCTGTGCTGGGATAGAGCAAGGGACAGACCACAGTCCCTGCTCCAAGGGGTTTGCAGTCTGGGCAGGAAGTGAAATGGAGATTGCCCCCTGGGAAGTGCTGTAGGGTCCCAAGGAGGGAACAGCTAGAGCCCTTATCCCCAGGGAATGTCAGAGAAGGCTCCATAGAGGTGACAACAGAACTGCACCCTGAAGGATAAGAAGGACTTAACCTATCTGTTAGAGTGGGGGAAGGGGTGTCTCAGGCAGAGCATAGTGAGAATTGAGACATGGAAGGGCACAGTGGTGCCACCACAGGGCAGAGATGAGAGCTTTAGTCCTGCCACCCCCAGGTACCTGCCAAGACAGACTGCGTCATGTTCTTTGGGCCTGTGGTCCCTGATGGCTACGGCGTCTGCTATAACCCCATGGAGGCCCACATCAACTTCTCCCTCTCCGCCTACAACAGCTGTGCAGAGACCAATGCTGCCCGCCTGGCACACTACCTGGAGAAGGCGCTGCTGGACATGCGTGCCCTGTTGCACAGCCACCCTCGGGCCAAACTCTGAGTCCCCCAGACACAGGCCTACCAATGCCACAGCCAAGCCCACCTTGGGATAACCAGGGCTCAGCCCCTTTGTTCTCTTATCCCCATTCCCCCAGATGTGACTGAGCCAGGGCTAGCATCCTTTAGTGGGGCCTGTAGGCCCAAGCGAAGTGCCTTCCATGGGTTGTCCCCAGCACCTGCTGCATCATAAGTCCCTGGGCAGAGTAAGAGGCTAAGAGGGGCACAGCCCCAGGCTCTGCATGTCATCCACTGATACCTCCTCTTGGGAAGGGAACCAGTCTAGTCCATTTTGGCCAGAGCAGGAGATTGACGAGCTCCTTTTCTGAGGCCACATGCGTCTTCTCCAGACCAGGGTAAGGATTATCTGAGGCCGAGGAGCTCTGGGCCTCCCTGAGGACTTGTCCACACCACATCATTGGGTCCTATCCTCTGTGTGGGGGGACCATATTCTTCTGGATGGTGTAGCCATGAGTCTAGTCCTCTTGTTTCCACTCAGATTGGCTCCTGCACCACGGTGGTGGTCATACATTAACATACAGGGTGATTAATAAAGGGATGTGTTGGTGAAGATGTGTTTCAGCTGAGGGGCAGATAGAGTGGGGATAGACGCCTGGCCTTGCCTTCTTCCAGCTTTCCCTGGGCTTGGAAGCTGGTGTCTGAGTAGCCAGTAAGCCCTATGGCTCCCAGAGGAGGAGTCCTCAGGCTTGGGTCACGGAGCCAAGGGTCAGCACCAACCTCGGGGCCCTGGGCCAATGGTGCCAGATGCAGCACTGTGTTCATCACCAGCAACTTACCACCTACTCCTGGCTCATGCCTTCCCAAGTGCCACAGACTGAGGGTAGGGACCACTCTCCCCAGGGGACTATGGATCCCTGTAGGCCCAGGTCTGATGGTCTGGGCAGTGTAGCCACCCCTTACCCATGCCCAGCAGGAGTGATAGTGGAATGAGCGTGCTAAGTCCAGCCCCAGATATTGCCTAGGAAAACACTGCTTGAGGTGGGCTGGGGGGAATGGCCAACTGCTCAGAGCTGTGTACCTGTCCCCAGCCACATGCACATGGTAGAGGCAGAGCATCCTGGCAAAGTCTAGTGCTCTGTAGAGAGAGGAGAATCTGTCTTAGAGGGACACTGGCCCTCAAGAGAGGCACACGTGAAACTCCAAGAGTGGATACCTGGGGTAGGGTGGCAGGGGTATGGTCAGGCAGCCAGGAAGTGCTTCATGGCCTGACTGATCTGCAATAGTTATATGAGGGTGCAGCCTGTGCTTTTTTCTACTTTTTTTTGTTTGTTTTTTTAGATAGTCTCACTTTGTCACCCTTGGTAGAGTGCCATGGTGTCATAGCTCACAGCAACCCCAAACTCTTGGGACTCAAGTGATTCTCCTGACTCAGCCTCCCAAATAGCTGGGCCTATAGGCACTGGCCACAATGCCTGGCTATTTTTAGAGACAAGGGCTCACTCTGGCTTAGGCTGGTCTCAAACCTGTGAGCTCAGGTAATCTACCTGCCGTGACCTCCCAAGTGCTAGGATTACAGGCATGAACCACTGTGCCTGGCCACTTTTTTGCATTTTTAAGATGAAGAAACAAACTTAGGTTAAGGTCACCAAGACACTAAATGGCAGAGCAGACGTTCCCAGCAGTCACACTTGTCTCCTTCAGCCCCTGGTCCACGGAGCACCTGTACCAGGCCCCTTGCCCCAGACCATATCCACTCAGATGTCCTGGGATGGGGGTGAAAAAGGGAGGCCTTGGGTGGACACTGCTCCAATCTCAGGTCCATGAACTGGTGAGGAGGGAGGACAGGGCCACAAGCCTGGAAAGCACAGGAAGGAAACAGCCAATCCTGGATTTTGATCAGGCACTGAGGCTTTTCTGGCCTGGCCAAGTCTCCTCACATCACCTAAAGATGGGCACTGCCGAAAGCCCCAGGAAACAAGAGTAGGAGCCTGGATGATGAGAGTGGGCAGTGCTCCTAGGCAGGAGTGAGCAGGCAGACCCAGAAGAGAACCAGGCTCTGCTCTCCCACCAGAGAGCTTGGGCCTCGGCTGTACTGTGGGGCTCACAGCAGATGCTGAGGGAGTGTGTGTGAGTAATGTGTGCATGTAGGCCAGCCTAGGGCAGCAACAGGGACAGGAGAGGGAGCCCCCTGTCAGGTTCCTGAAACTCATACAAGAACCTTATAGGTCTGAATATAGTTAAGACAGGATTTTTTTCCCCAAAAAAATTATCCTTCAGAAGTGAGGGCAGGCTCCGTGCCTATAGCAGTGTTTATGGCACCAGCCATGTACACTGAGGGTGGCGGGTTCAATCCCGGCCCAGGCCAGCTAAACAACAATGACAACTACAACAAAAAATAGCTAGGCATTGTAGCGGATGCCTGTAGTCCAAGCTACTTGGGAGGATGAGGAGGATGAGGAGAATTGCTCAAGCCCAAGAGCTTGAGGTTGCTGTGAGCTGCGATGCCACAGCACTACTGAGGGCAACATAGTGGGACTCTCTCAATAAAAAAAAGTGAGGGCATCCCTTGACATTTGAGTTCCCACAGGTCTCATATGGAAGCTCCTTCAATTCTTTAGAGCCACAAAGTGTTGTATGCAGAAGACACATTCAGCATCTAAATGCCCATCACTGTTAGATGAATACTTAGAGGACCCCACATGGGAAAAAGGCAAAGAAACACGAGATTTAGTACTTCCTCCTAAGAGTTGTTAAAGCATGGGATGTGGCATGACTACGTGCTTCAGAGGTCTCTGAGGCTAGGCATGGTGGCTCACACCTGTAATCTTAGCTCTCTGGGAGACCAAGGCAGGTGGATCACCTAAGCTCAGGAGTTTGCGACCAGCCCAAGCAAAGCAAGACCCTGTCTCTACCAAAAATAGAAAAATTGGCTCGGCGCCTATAGCTCAACCGGCTAAGGCGCCAGCCACGTAC